AAAAAAAAAAATGTTGCTGATTTTTTTTTCAATGCAGACATGTATATCAATATAAAGAATGACAAAGTAAGAAATGTTAGCCCTTCCCATTTCGCCATTGAAAATGTCGATAAGTGCTTCCTGTTTGAGAAGGAGTACTTGGACGGGTTTTTCCCTGAGGGGCTTGCTGGGGAGTTGCCCAAGGACATTTTGATGCACGATGGGGGGTGCAGCGATAGGGAGAGCGGCACGCAAGCCAAAGGAAAGGAAGCCGTCCCGGATGGTGATCACCAAAATGATAACCTCGACATGTTTCTGCGCGAACTGGAAAAGAATGACGTTGTGCCAGATCAACGCTTGATAAAGAATGCGCAAAATTTGAAGGGTGTAGGACTGCTGTTCAGAAAATTAGCGTACGAAATTGTAGATGAGTTGAAACATTTTGAAGAGAATTACAAAATGTGCAAACGGAGGGATTCATACAAGCTGGATAGCTATTTTGCGCAAAGAGGAGAATGCACTAGTTACTACGATGGTGGTGATGCGAATGGAGACTCAAATGACGAAGTGAACGAAAAGAGAAACAACTCCAGGAGCAACTACAATGGGATGTCCTACAAAAGTAGAAGCTTCCTAATAGACGGAAAGAGAGGAACAGGAAAGAGCTGCATTCTAAACACCATAGTCCTCTGGGCCAAGTTAAATCAATGGTTTGTTATCTTCGTCCCTGATATAAAAAAATACAAATTTGATATTAACACCATTGTTCGAAGTAATACAAATTTGTATATTCAGCCAGAACTGAGTAGACAATTTCTGGAAGACTTAGTAAAAACAAATGAATCATTTTTAAAAAAATTAAAAGTTGATAAAGGAATTCTCGAAATTACCTGTCTAGATGGAACACATTTATTGTACAACAAAAAAATTTATGATGAGATTATCAGAAAAACAATCGATGCGGAAGTAGCAAATGATGAACAAAATTTTAATGCCTTAAATGAAAGGGAAAAAAATATGTACAAGCAAAAATTGTACAAATTTTACTATGACAATGTGAAAATACCAAACCTACTGGATAAATTTTCAGTACCCCCTAATTTATTAGAATTAGCACACATTGGGATTAATAATGTATCATATGCCAACCTTTGTGTCTATGCATTGTTTGAACATTTGAAAAAACAAACTGAATTCCCAATTCTTATAGCTGTCGATCAATTCAATTTCAACCTCAGTGTCTCAGAATATCTGTCCATTAATTTTGAAAATACAAAATATAATGGGTACATTCCTACATACTATTTTACTATTCCTAAATTGCTACTCAAGTGGGACGCCAATAAATATAAAAGGTGCGTCAAAATTGTTTCCACCTGTTGGGACAGAGAAAATAGAAGAGATTTCAGGCCAGAACTTTTGGGCATACACAAAAGGGATGTTAAAACAGCTCGTAATTTCACCCTGCGCGAGTTTAAGAATTACGTTGCCCATTTGTACAACCAGAACGTCATATATAATTTCGATGTGAATAAGTTGGAATACTTCTACATGCTGACTGGTAAGGTCATTCTGTCTGCATATGGAATTCTCGCATTTTGTGCATATAACGGGGGGCATGCTTCGGACAAGCGCTTGGTACTGTAAATTTTTTTTTTTTTTTTTTTTTTAGGAGGAAATGGCTTTCAGGCAAGAAAGCTCTTAACCACGTTATACTGACCCGCCCCGCAGTGCTTTTTGCATAAGAAAAACAGTGACTTGTTATCGAAAATGAAGAAACCCCCCCTCACTTTTCTGTTCCGCCCAATTTTCTGCACCCCATGAATGATTCCTAAAAGCTATTTTGTACAGATACAATAATAGTCGACAGTTTTTTTTTTTTTTTTTTTAATGCGCCTTCGAAGCGCACCTACCTCTGAAATTTTTTATTTGTGTCTACATTGCAGCGCACCTCTTTTGTGTAGCCTTTGTGGCATACCTTGTATTAAACGCCCCACTTTGTCACAATTTTTCTTTTCTTTCCTTTTCTTTGTCTAACTATCCCAAGTACTACCAGTCATAGCGCAAAGGCAACACACACATTATGCGTAAAGAAATTATTTTACAAAGCGTTGCTTTTTACCGCATAATAGCTAGGGTTACATTAAAACAAAAAATTAGAGAAAATATATGATGAGTTCGATGAGTGTACCAGAAAGATGCAAAACCACATATGTACATATAAAAATATAGCCATATGCACATTCGCAAGTTTGCACATGGGCCCCATTTTTGTGTACACAAAATTTTAGGGCCCCACAAAATGAAACAAAAATACAATTAAGGCATTTAACACCCCTGGATGATATATATATCAACCATGCAGACCATATCTGTGTAGAGGTCTCCACACGGGGAAGAGTAGAAAAAAAAAAGACACATTAGCATATACACCGTGGCAATTTCAAAAAATGCCCATTCTTTCAGGCACCCCCACTCCAACGAGGTGCATAACACTTATAGGGATAAAAACAGGCAGGCGACATAGCTACAATCACAAATAAAAAAAAAATTTTAATTAAAAAAATGAGAACAAATTGGATGAGGAAAAAAATAATCAGTTTTGCTTAAATTCAAATGGGGGGAGAAGAAAAAAAAAAAAAAAATGTAAAAAACGGGGAGCAAAAAAAATACGATTACCTAAAAATGGATTGTCAAACGCTACAACACCACCCCTAGTAGTATTCATAACTCTCCTGCAGAAACCTATGCTTCAGGAGCTCGGCGGGGGTCGGCCTCAGCGCGGGGTCGATCTGCAGTATGCTATACAAGAAGTCGAAAAACAACTCATTCCTTATAAGTCTGTACAGAGGGAGGCATCTCTTAACGTACTTAATAGACTCAAAACTAGAAGCATTTTCTGGCCAAGCCAATCTAAGACCATCCCTATTTATATATTTGGCCCCATTAGTTCTAACGGCATCGCATATCATTTTTTTGGGGATTGGCTGAACGATAGCTTCCATCATAGCTAAGTGTTCTAAATGCTCATGGGTTCTGAACAAAAGATCTCCTGTGTACATTTCAGCCAACACGCAACCAAAACTCCACATATCACTTGAGACATCCCATCCCAAATTTAGAATAACTTCCGGAGCACGATACTGCCTTGTGTTGATAATAGACCCATGGTATCCATCCTTAAAAGTGGCACAACCAAAATCGATTAATTTGATGCCCGTAGATTTGGTTCTATAAATCTGAACCCGTTTTCCATCTGTAGGTCTTCTAACACTCACTAAGGTTTTCTCAAAATATGGGTCATCTAGCAAAATATTTTCTGGTTTCAAATCGGTGTGCGTTAAAGATATTTTGTGGAGGTAATTTAATGCCTTCAACATTTCAATGCAGTAAAGCTTGATGTCTTCCAAATGAAATCCGTTGTAGTTATTCTTGGTGATAATTTCGTACAGAGATGGACCCAGGGGTTCGAATACCAGACACATGTGATCGTAGTACATAAACCGTCCATGATATTTGACAATATTATTATTATTAAAATCATCATTTTGAATTTTCTTCAAAATATCTGCTTCTATCTTTGCGGATTTGGTATACTTTTTAATATTTCGTACTACCTTCACCGCGTAATACTTTTTTGTGTCCATATGCTGACAGAGAAGAACTCGTCCGAAGGTTCCCTCCCCCATTTTTCGTATCACCACGTAACAGTTGTTTAGGAGCATTCCCTTTTTCCAACTAAAATGTACAATTTCGTCATCTGAGTCGCAGTTTTCTTTTTTCTTCTTTTTTTTCTTCCTATTGTTATTATCTTCCATATCTGAAATTTTTGTTCTGTTTCTTTTGTGGTTGTATTTTTTTCTAGAAGATACATCATCCGTTGATTCATCGGAGGGGGTATACTTGTACGATTCACTACTGTACCTATCGGCATGGTGTTTTTTTTTATTTTCATGTGAAGAGTAGCTACTACCTCTTCGTGACAAAGCACTTGAGCCTGTTTCTTCATTGCTGCTAGTGCTATCTCTTCTTCGTCTTCTTCGTTGCGCGCTCCTTCGCTTACTCCTTCTCCTGCTCCGACGTCCACTCCTCGTACCGCTATAACTGTTGGGAGCCTTTTTCCTTTTCCTTTCCCCTCTAGTATACTTACGGAGGGACTGCTGTGAGCCTTTTTCCTTATCAATGCACGCAGCTTGGTTCCTCCTATTCCCCATACTTTCGCCCCTCACATACGATTTACCTGTACCATCATCTCGCGTCGTATCTGTATGTTTTAACTTGAATGATTTATTCGATTTTTCATCCTTGTCCTTATAGCTGCATGCTCCCACTTCGGTAGCTGCACTCGTGGCGCTGCTTGCACTTGGTCCCCCTCCGAAACTACCTGTCTCCTTCTGATGCCCAGCAGTCGCTTTACACTTCCCATTTCGGTAGGAACCTTTCCTTTTATTATTCATCCTGTCTGGGTGACCATTATAGCTTTTAGAATTTGTTCTAAAGCTATTTTTATTACCATAATACATTTTTTTCTTCTTCAACATAGAGCCATCGTTAAATAAGTAATATTCATTATTGTAAAAGATATTTCCGTGTCCAAAGTGGGTGTCGTAGTTTCTTCTCTTATCACTATTATACAATTTCTTTTTGTACGAATAGTATTTTCTTTTTCTGGTCGAGTTATATCCTTCTGCATAATTATTTTGATAATCTTCGTGGTGGTACTTGGATTCTAGATACACCTTATGGTGTCTTTGTTCATGGTCACTTATCTGCCTCATCGACGAGTAGCTTCGTTTCTTCCCATTTTTATACACCCTCATCATATTATCGTCCACATCATAGTTTTTAAATTTCTTAAGGAGCTTTCCTTTCCGGCTGGAGTTGCTGCTTCTGTTGGAGCTCCTGATTCTTTTCCCCTTTAGCAGCTTGAAGCCGCTATTGTACACGTGGTTGTGCGAGTCGTGGTACCCGTTGTGGTACAAATCCTTGTGAAAATTTTTATATGAATTCTTGTACGAATTTCTGTACGAATTCCTGTATGCGCTGTTGTGCAGGTTGTCCTGCCGATTGCGGTAGTAGTAATTATTGTTCCTTCGATGGTCATTAAAATACCTGCCGCTGGGGCTATCTCTTTGCACATTTCCAAAATCCATATACTTGCCTTTTATATCTCTTATATAACTCTTGTAATAATTATATTCTCCATATTTACTGTTGTATTTTTCACTATCGTCCTTGTAGTTCTCTTGGATCATTCTGGCTTTTTTTTTTTTTTTTTACTTAAAAGAAAGGGGAAAAAAAAACAAAAAAGCCATCAGAACAGATTTTTTTTTTTTTTTCTAAATTATTTCCCTGGGCGTATTGCTTCTTTGTGGCAATTGAGGATATACATGTGTATGATTATATGCACATACATACGTATAATACTGGTGACTTTCCATTTATCCCGCGCTTTTGGGACTAGGACACAGTTTACATGAGAACGGGCGGAACATATATATATGTATTATAATACAAATACTGTCGCCCATGTGCATTGCATACAATACAATGCGTTGATGCTCTGCCTCCTGACGTTAACAGTCTCGTACCTTATATGTACGGAGCAACGCCAGGCGAGCGACAGCAAAGTACTTGACAACGCAATGTCCTTTGCTCATAATATACATATGCTACATGGACAACGCTAATTCCACATACATTCACATGACTAGACTTCGTTTCTTCAATGCGATATAAACCAGGACGGGGAAGAGCCTGCCAGTTTTTTTAAACACCAAGGAGTTTTCTGAACTGGGCAAAAGTGCTATGTATGGACTGGACCTGGGATAACAATGTCGCAACAAAATGGAGAAGAAAATAGCTAAAGGTGGAAGAAGTACTGGCGAAAAAATGGCAAAAAGGAAAGGCAAAGAAATGGCGAAATTGTGAGGGAAAGCAATGTCGAAAAACGTAAATGCCAAATGAAGGAAAAGCAAAACGCAACAAAATTGCATTCCTACTCCTACGTTCACAACGCTAATACATATTTTCACATTTTTATATTTGTTTATATTTTGGGGGGAATTCTAAGAAGGCTGATTCAAAATGAAGAAGTCACTACATAGGCACAACACTGTGAAGAAATTAAAAAAAAAAATTAAAAAATGAAAATAACAATCTCGTAATAATGAAACATGCCTTTTCTCTAACAATGTTATTTTGTAAAATATGTATATAGAAACAGAGACAATTTTTTTGGCACAAAATTAATTCATTCCTGGGATCATCATTCCATGGATGTACAAAACTGGCAGCGCAGAACTGCATTATATATATATTATAACATTAAATACTTGTGTCATCCGTGTACACCTTTCCTCATTTTTCCATGCTTCATATGCATATAGAAATATAGATGGCCAAAGTTTATTAACAATTTTGCCGCCTACTTGAGAAAAAAGTATGTTGAAAAAACAGAAACAGAAAGCGCAGTGCGCTTCACATGCCATTCCGCCGCTTCTTCATAGTGTAATTTACGACAGGGTTAATTTTCAGTTCGCATGTCAAATATTGCGTGCGTCGGGGAACAGTTTTTACCTTTTGCTTTTTTATTTTTTTTATTTTGTTATGCTTTGCAACTTTTCGCAATTCCTATTATTCTTTTTTTTTTTTTCTAATGTTTCCCCTGTCCACGCCGCTCAACACTTTGAAAGATGCATAAATTGCGGAAAACAAATGCGAGTAAGAAAAACAAACAAATGTTGAAATGGTTGAAAAACGCGGCTGCTTTTTCTTAACCCCACATGAGTCGTTTTTTCATACGCTAATTATAAATTTGTATATATAAAAAATATACAGCTGAAAAACTCTTTCCCATTTGATGCTTTATGCGTACTTCAATTTTATGTGATAGTAGTGGAATGAATTCAAAAGCTATTTTCTTCTTCCTTGTAAACAAGTATAACTATATTTTAACAAAGAAAAAAAAAAAAAGAATGATGCGAAAACTTCCATGAAGCGGAAATAATCACGTCATTTCTATTGTGGCCCCTTTTGTGAAACTCACAGGGTAACGCAAGTGCGTTAATTTTACACGTTTACTGGTAAACTTCCCACTTCCTCCTGTTACGTTGTACACATGTACTGTACATGCATATGTGAGGTGCATATATTAATTACACAGAGAAGAGAAGCCATTAATTGTATGTAATATATTTGTCACCTTAGCAACTCTGTGTAACCTCGCGAATTCACAACATTTGTGTGTTTTTTTTGCGCAAGGATAATGCTCCACTGCGACGTTCTCTTCCACATAATGGTAGAGCAGCTTTAAGCCAGGTTTGCAAATTACAAGGAATGCTCTCCCTGCTTTGGATGATCAGACAAAAAGGGGAACATTTTCTCACATGCAAAATTATCACGCGTGTAGTGATTTTTAAGAAATGCGCTGGAGACGATACGGATTTAGAAAACGAGAATTTGCAACAAACTCTTAGTGCTTTGGTCACTTATTAATGCATTACACGTCTTACATTCATCATAGCCTATTTGCACCCCTTTTTTAAACGCCTCTAAAGGCCGAAAAATACTTACAAAAAAAAAATGTGCATGTATAACTCCAACATTTGTCATAGCCTCTAACATTTTGTTACCTATCTTAAGTGAGACAAATTTAAAATGGGAAGTTCATTCAGACGAAATTAATTAAATCATTTGTCTTGCATGTCTCCGAAATTTTTTCAAAAAGCAAAGTACCCAAATTACGAAAGCACGCAACAGTAACCAAATTGGACGTTCCTATATTTCAAAGAGTGCAAATTTGGGTAGGCCCCGGAATTCACCATTTCTGCAATATTCCCCATTTTTTCAAAAATTAATTCGAATGGACCAAAAAAAAAATGACAACTCCACAGGGTGCAAGAAAGACGGTACACTAGCAATAAAAAAAGATGACCATGTAGAAATTCTTAAAAATTTAAACTCGACCATTAAAGAGTTTCAAAAAAATTTTGAACTACTAAACAAGAATTATTCCGTAAAAGATTTGGAACGTGTGTTAAACCCTGTACAGTACGCTGAATACAATTCGTTTCTTGCCTACTCCATTTGCTCTATTTTTCATTCCTATTTGAAAATATCCGGCGACTTTCTCAGTAACCATCCCATTAAAAATGAATTAAAAAAGGTACAATTATTGATGAAAGAAATAAAGGAAAAGAACCAAGAAAATAATGAAGATAAAAGATATCTCACAATTAATAAGGAAGCCTCCAAAAGGATAATTGATTCGTGCATTTCGTACAATAAAGATTTAAAAAAAAGAAAACATTTTAAATGAACACAACTCTGAACTGTCTTCCCCTTTTTTAAAATCAAGGGGACAGTTTTCACCTGCACCGCGCACATATTTTTGCGTGCCACTTATTGGGGGAAAAAAAAGAAAAAAATAGTTAGCGGTTCAACGAGGCAAATGCGCAATTGGCTATTAACAGTTAGCAAAAAGAGCGAACGCCTTACGAATAATTTTTTTTATTTTGTGCAGAGCTGGTGGCTGTCCATTTTTCAAAGGCTATTTGTGTCGCACGCTCGGCAATGTGGCTACAGTCGTTCGTTCGTTCTTTCGTTATTTTTCACTCATGTGGAAATATTTTTAATGTCGTAAATTTTCAAACAATTGTGGGGCACTTTCGTGTGCTCCTTTGTTTGCTTCGTTGTTTGTTTTTTTGTTTTCCTTTTTCGTTTCCTTTTTACTTCCCTTTTTTTTTTTGTATTTCCGTACATTTTAAGAAGACACCTATTTGAGAATGTCATTTTGAGAAAACAAATATTTGTCCGTTTATGCAAATTCGAACCTTGCTCACTTTGACAACGTACGCTTTCCATTCGAATTATTTAGCCGCATGTGGCATTATGTGTAAAACACATGCCTGCATCGCTATGCTGATTAAGAATTAACAAAAGCGCAGTTATATAAACGAACCGAATTTTACAAAATTGTCCATATGCTGAACAACGGTGGGCTAAACAAAAAAGCTACACACAAAAGTATTTTTCCACCCCCGCAGGGTTAATAAAGTAACATGCTAACGTATTTAAGCGTATCCACATTTTTGCGCAATAGTCCTTTTCTTGTCAATTTTGCATATATCAAAATTAAAAAAAAACAAAAAACAAAGGTGTTTAGGGCACAGCACGGCCTTAACAACGTAGGGAATGCAGCACGTCTTCTTAGTGTTTGCCGGCAAAATATGAACTGACACGCAGTCACAAAAAATAGGCCACCGATGATACGTACTGTTCAATTGTTTTACGAATTCACCTGAACGGGTCATACAAATATGTAACTCTTTTATGTGTGTGAAATGAAAATGCGCGCATATGTGTGGCACTGAAGCTGCGTTGTGTACGAATATATATTATGGGGGGGATTATTGTTTAATATTTTCTTCTTTTTAACACTTTAATCAAAAGTGATGACACATGCGTTAAATTGCTATATAAGCAATAAAGAACGCAAAAACATCTTTGCGGAAAAGGGGAAGGTTAAAATATTCAAAAAAAAAAAAAAAAAAAAAAAAAATGCTGCCAAAATCGCACTTTTAGCGCAAAAATGATATAGCAGTTTTGTGTCAAGAAACGCATGTGAACTGTTTGGCATTTATTAATTATGGTACAAATTATGAGGCAAATAAATGCAGTGAATAACCTCCCTGTCGCAAAAACGGCCAAAAAAGGGGGAAAAATAATGCTGATATAAATTTTGGCCAATTGCTGCTGCAACGAGCCATAAAATTGGTTATTTTATATTACTCATTTGTAAAACTAACAAATAAAAACATATGAACGACAATATATACGTGATTGTTTTTTTTTTTAAGTGCGTCTCCATGCACGTATAATAAAAGGCCCCCTTTTTTTTTGCTGACAGCTTGTGCCCTGATTGTCGTTGCAATTATTCAATAATTTTGTGTGGCAAAAATATAAAGCTATTTCGTGCCTTCGTAAAAATTTGTTTTCAATTTTTTTTTTTTTTTAATTAATTTATTTTTTTTTTTCTTTTCCTTAACGCTCGTTCATCCACGCAATTTATTATATAAATTCCAAAAAAACATTTTTTTGATCACATAATCGCATATGAACGCATAAAATGGAATATAACAAAACAAATATATGAAACGAAAACCTTTTGTTTATTTCTTTTGGCCCCACGATTTCCAAATGTAATTTTATATATATGCTGCAAGTGGTATTATATTCATTATGTAAATTTCATGTATAACAATTTTAAGTATTCAATATATCTACATGCCTGGCAGGCGCACTCTCCGCTTCATCCCATCATATTCATTTTTTTCGCAAGTTGTACGTACATACGTTAAACGCAAAAAATAAGAAAACATGAATATAAATTTTCTTTAAATCGAGTGAACTGCAACTTGCCAGGGCGTACAGAGAGGTGTACTGCGCCAAAAATTTTAAGAAATATGTAAACGTGCAAAATGACAGGATTCAACATTTAAAAAATAAATTTCCTTTTGATTTTGCACTTAGCCTGTTTTTTTTTTTTTTTTTTTTGTGAATGACTGTAATAAAGTAAATTAGTACAATATAATAGTATGTATGCCTTCTTGCAATGCAGGTAACGCATAAAAACACAAAAAAAATGTACATTACATTGTCATCGAAAGCAGGCAAATGACATTTGAACGCCAAATTCAATTACTGAATCTCTCAATAGCTAACACATATGTAAAACAAAAAGGTTCACGTTAGAAGAACACCTTAAATATGTGATATAAGCCCAATTGAATTTGTTTATGTTATGTTATTTATTTTTTTTTTTTTTGCTTATGTTTTCATTTTTTTTTCCATAACGTAATAAGGCTACGGATGCTTTGCGTTTTAAATAAAATACCTTTATCTGAAGCGTCAAACTAACATTTGCTTAGCCAACGCTAAAGGTTTAAATTGGCGTTTAAATTTAAAGTTGAATTTGAATTGCCAGCTTGTTTTATTACTCTGTAAATGTTTTGTTTTTTTCCCCCCATTTAATGTGTAAAGCATAATCAACATGCTGTATATCTGAAAAGAAGCATACCAATTAAGCATATTCCAGTATAGCGAATCAGCACACACACATATGTATTATGTATATATATACATTTGTATGTATGTACATATACCTATACACACATTCGTGCCTGCACATTTGTATATATATACCCCGTCACTTTGCCGATTTTTATACGCAAAGAGCGCTGCTATTTCATTATTACATGTAGTGGAAACACTCGGTTGGAACGATGCCCCTTGCCCCCTCCTGGCACATCCTTTAATGTGTAGGTTCATATTTGTATACGCATCGCACGTTTGTGGAATAGCAAAAGGAAAATGATTTGAAATAACAACAGAAAAGGAGAGGCGCTCTTCTTCGCATTCGCCACATAGAATAGAAGTCCTTACATATACCATTCATACATGCTCATACACGCATAGGTCCAAGCATAATTGTACGTGCATGAATGAGCATATGTGTATGTATATGTACACACATGCGAGTAATAAAAATGACACATGAGATAACCAAACAATTTGCAGGAAAACTTCCAATATTACACATATCTCTATTTCTTATCACAAAATTTTCCTTTTTCTAATCACCCTAGTGCATATTTACGTGTATATGTAACCATACACGTACTATATACACACACACACGCCCATTACATTTAAATATATACCAGAAGCGATAAGAAAATATTTCAGAAATATTTTTTGCGCGTATAGCTAAGAATAATACAACAACAGTATTTCTTCCAGTACAACGTTCCAAATTCCTCCATAGAAAATTAGCCTTCGTCCATTTGTTAACAAAATAAATAAAAAAAAAAAAAAAAAAAAAAAAAAAAAAAAAAAACAGGGAAACGGAAAAGCCTTGGTAAAGGGATAAAAAGAAGGTTCATTTCGTTACACGCATTTTCAAATGACGTGTCTTTCTTTTTACACCTTTTCTTTTTCTTTTCTGTAAAGTTTCGACTAAATGACCGATGTACAAATACAAAATCAAACTAGTTTGAATACTAGTAAAAAAGAGTTTGAGAGTAGATATGATGAAAGGGGGCTTAGAATTTTATGCGTAAAAAACATATCAAAAGAGACAAAGGAAAGTGAACTGTTGGACTTATTCAAAAAATTTGGTTCTATCGAAAGTATAAATCTTAAAGTGAACACAAGTATCGGACCCTATGCCATATATGCCCACGTTCTGTTTAGCACTCCCGAGGAGGCTAAAAGATGTCTAAAGCAAATGAACGGGAAGTTTTTAAGTAATCCTTCATGCGCATAAGTTTTCTCCTGTGAGGTGCATGTGAATGTGACGATGGATGTGACGATGGATGTGACGATGGATGTGACGGTGGATGTGCCAGTGGATGTGACAGTGGATGTGACAGTGGATGTGACTATTGGGGAACTTCGTCTTTTTCACCGTTTCTGCCTTTTTCTTGTCTTCATTTATTCTTTTTTTGCGTTTCCGCTTGGTCGTTTCATTCGCCATAGCACCCATTTGGGGCCATCTGTGCTATAGCGGCCAAGAGCGCAACTTCATCCGTACTGTCACATCCATCCAGTTATTCAAATAATCACCCTCTGCATTCCGCTGTGTCCCGCAGCATTTGTCTCACGTTTTGTTACATCTACAATGCGCACTGCAAAAAAAAAAAAAACATTCCTTATTAAATCGAGGGCTAGGCATACATATTACTCCACTTTTTTTTTTTTTCCTAATGTGTGTATTTCTGTAGATGGAAGAGCTTTGCGCATTTACTTCAAAAAGTACAACAATAAAGTAGGTGACGATAACGATAAGCACGAAAGTGGCATTGTTTATAACTACCCATACCAGGACAGCAACAACAACAGTGGAAACAATAATGGTGGTATGAACACCAATGCAAATATGACTAACCCTGCGAACGGCAGCAACAAGTTCAACCGAAAAAATAATCGAAACAACCAGTTCCACAACAACAGATACCAAAACAATAACAAGCGCATGGCTAGAAATGTAATTTTGTGTGACAATTTAAGGAGTGGTGCTCTAATTATACATATTTTGCACACCGCTGCGACCATGTTGTTACAATATATATATATATATATTTTTTCTTTTTTTGTCACCGCAGGATGGCATCCTAAATGACGGTAGCGTTAACCCGTACGACTCGGAGGCGACCGGTTTTAGGGAACACGAGGTAGGATTTTCACACACGATTAATAATTTTACCATTGTGCACATTCTTTATGTTACTTATTTTTACCTATGCTCATTTTGTCTTCTTCTCTTCCTCCCCCTCCTATAGCATGTAAATAAGAGATTACGCACAGGTGGAAACAACACCATGGAGAATGTCAATTTTGGCAGCGCGAACAGTTTGACAGGCCTGCCCAATATAAACGGCAGCAAAAATGTAGAGATGAACAAGTTGATAAATACGTATGAAGAGAATAAAATGCTAAATAAACCAATCGGAGATGCAAGAAATAGGCAAGGGGATGAAATGTTACAATCTGTAATTAAGGATGGCATGAATAATAAATCCTTCAGGATAAAATTATATTTGTGTGACCATTTGAGGAAGTGTGCCCAGCACGTATTTAACAGACCCGCCGTAGACATCGGCGTGGCAAGTAATTCAATAAACAACATGCATAGTAGCAGTGTGGTTAGTAATGAATTCAAGGGGAATATCCATGTAAACGCAAGTGCCACCAACCCTGGTGCACCACTGAACCACTCCGAAAAGAATAACCTGTTAACCGGTGGGATGGCGAATTCCGCAACGTTGAAAGAACTTAACAATCACCACATGATGAATAATGGCATAGCAAACAAGGAAGGGCAAGTTCATGGAAATGACAAAGCCTTAACCACCTTACATAGCGGTGGATATAGTACCCCCAATATGGGATTGAATAATCCCACTACCAATGTGAAGTACGCCCTGTGGAAAGGAACCCTCGAAATGAAGAATAAAGGAAATCTCGGTATCATCGGACATGCTCTAAACGGGGATGTACAAAAATTTCTGAACAACAATATTTCCAGCATAGTAATAAGTCACAGAAAAAAAATGAAAACACTTCCCAAAATAGAAGCCACGTATTATTTCCAAATACAAAATAAAGAAGAAGAAAATATTTTGGATGCTTATAGAAATTATTTTAATAGTAAGGATAGAGTGGGGTTGTCTTCCACAAGTGACGACTGGCATATGTTTCTTATCTTCCCAGGATGTCCCATTTTTAAAGAGTTCTACAACTCTGTTGGAGGTATTAACATTTTTGGTGATGGAAACAACTCAAATAATTTCAATAATATCTTCTTGGGGGTTGTCTGTTATAATCCACAAATTTCTGATAATAAAAATGGTGTAGGAATCTTGGGGGCGAAACCTCATGATGGTGTGGCTCCTCAAGATCATAGCACAGCTGCCAATTTTAATCAACAACCATCTCCCATGACAAATGTCAACCAAACCCATGTGAACAGGAACTTTCAAAATTTGAATAATCATCACCAGAACAAGTTTACCAGCCCAGTTACAACGGTGGGTGCTGCAGGCAGAGGCATGAACAATAACATGAACGGAAACAATCACAGTAGTAGTGGCCTTTATGGTGATTTTTCTAAGAAGGGGGGCGGTGGTGGCCCAAGCAACGCAGTCAGTAATAATTGCCCTCTTCACAGTAACAAGCATGGTGGCTTCCCCCATGCGAACAAGCCCGATGCAACCACAGCAGCGACAACGCAAGTCCTGCCATCCAGCAGTAATCCCAATGCACAAAAAGGGGTCATGGCACCCCAGAATAATTCTACCACCCAGGTGAACAACGAGAATGACGCCTCCAATGAGTTAAGCGAATCAACTCTAAAGGAAGAAAACAACAATGAAGTCCCAAATTGGCTCAATCAGTTTAGTTCATTAGCAGCCTATCTTGTCAAAAAATAGGATTTAAAAAAAAAAAAAAAATGTTCCATCTCCCTTTATCATTTTAACCTCCCAGGATTTTTTTTTTTTTTTGTTACGTTTTTGTTTTGTTTGTCATGCCCCTGGTGGATTTTATCTCCTTTTATCATTAATGTGTGGAAAGAACAGAAAAAGCGATTCATCTTTGAATTATTTTTACGTGTGGCGTAGCAGATAAGGGAAGGGAAGGCCGTGAGGGTGGGATATATAATAATTCCCAGAGCAGACATTTAAAAACCAGCTTGAAAGTGCTCTCCCCATCGCTCCCAATGCGTCAGTGCCCCTACCCTTAAATCCGTAAGCATTACGTGAAGAAGTAACCACTACAGTTCGGAGGATCTCAAATTAGCCAATGAATAAGCGGAATAAACGGAAGATGAAGAAAAAGAAGATAATGCCCAGGAATGCATAGACGCGCGCCCCTATAAAATACGTAGGGTGTGTGCTTATTTTTACAGACAAAATAACCATTTGCCTATGGGTGAGGGGAAATTAATAACGACCCCATGGAGGCCTGCACATGTTACGTACACACGTGCGTACATAAATATTCGTGTGCTCATTCGTCATCAGAATCGTTATGACTAACTGCGAAAAGCAAACCGAAATTGTCTCGTGTTTTGTTCGAACGCATTTGTCATCTGATGAGTGTGTGCACCTCTTTTTTTTTTTTTTTTTTTTTTTTTTTTGTCTTTAAAAAAAAAAGAAATAAACTTTTATTATTAAACAAAATTAAAATGTTTTAATTCTTTCCAATTTTCAAAATGTGAACCAAAGGGGGAACACACTTAAAAAATGGAAACACTAAGGGGAAGAGGCTTTTTGTTGTTTTTTTACGTGCCACACGGCACCGGCTGTTGATAATTGTCCTTTTTCCGTGTGTCACTTCACATATGTATGATCGTTCTCGTGATGGTATACCACAGCAGATTTTTCCAAATGGGTGGCAACATATTATAGTCCCCCTGAAAAAGTAAGAAATGGAACATTTGATCAATATTCTTTTTGAGTACGTTGGGAAAACAACGCCTACATCGGGGGGGAGAGGAACTGACAAGCACTTATTGTCGTACGCGTGTGTAACTACCGGTTCATAGCGAAAATTGTGTATCCGCTGGGGAAATCTCCATTCTGCGAAGCAACCCCACTTGTTCTCCAACCACTGTGTTGGAACAAAAAAATATTCATATGAGCTTCATTTCAGTTTAATTTTTAAAAAAAATATAAAAATATAAAAAATAAAAAAAACTTCTTAAAAATACGGTTGTTTCACATTTGGACAGAGACTTGCACACATGCATGCGCACACGTACACATACGCTCATGCAGGCACATTGGCAAATACACACAACATACACATGTACAAATGCATATACATATACACAAATAAATATACATATACATGTACAAAAAAAAAAAAAAAAAAAAAAAAAAAAAAAAAA